AAAGATCTGCACTTATGGGTCGAATAACTTCCCAAATTAGAGTAGGCAAGCCTTTTTATGGCATCATTGTCGGGGACATATTTTCTACTATTGTAGGTCCTACACTCCATTACTTTACTTCATTTTTATATATCTTGTGTAGTTACTATTTGTTAGTTTTTATTTTTCTTATCTTGTGTCCAAAAATCACAAAAGTCACAAAACAATTTTATTACAGCAAATAGTTTTTTTAGGCCTCAAGAAATGTCTACTTCTTCCCAAAATACCAAATTTTGTGATGTTTAAAGTATTAATAATTTGTTAGTACACCTATTTGCTCAACCAACTACTAAGGCTCAATCCTATGAAATCAAGCCTTCTTTTAAATTTGATATTGAAAGAAAAATTCTCTGGCTCTTACAATGTAGATGATGCTTCTCAGTTAAACAATTTTGTTCAACTTTGTGACATGCAAAAATATAAAGAAGTAGAAGTCGAAATCATCAAGTGAAAACTTTTTTCCATTTTTCATTAACAGCTAGGGCAAAAGAATGGATGTTATCTTTACCCAAGATAGCATTGATTCATTCACAAACTGTAACGATGCATTTATTGGCAAATATTTGCCTTGAGCTAAAATTATCTAGTTAAGGAATCTTATCGAGAATTTTAAACGACTTGAGAATGCACATGTAGCCCAAGCTTAGGTAAGGTTAAAAACAATGAAAAAAATTGCCCCACACATGGTTATTTGTCCATTTGATTAAGTTGGTTATTTATTAACACCGTTTATGTTGCAAACTGGATATATACACATATACATACATAAACACTATTCTGATCATGGGATCAGAATATTCTGATCAGAACATGAACTTCCTGAGTTACACGCCTGAACTTCCCTCTGTAGGAACCCAGTCTTCGGGCTATCTTCGCAACTGTGTCTCCCCGCGCGAATTATTCTGGTTAGTCGTGTTATATATGATGTAAGTGTAATCTAGAAACGAGTTTTAGCAACTAAATGCCTGTTTTACATAGGAATCTCACTCGTTGGCGGATTTTTCTCTCGGATCATGATGAACTTGCGTTTTTTCTGCAATTTTACTGCCTGAGTTGTTCGACCTGAACTTCCCCCCGTGCTAGGTTGAACTTCCACCAATGTTGCCCAAATGGAGCTCGCGATATACTGTTGGAAAGCTATGGACAAGAGTATCATGACCCAAGTTAGCTTTTTGGCAAAATGTAAGTGGTTTGAGAGCAGTTTTGAAAACCATTTTTTCTTCATACAAGAATGTGAATCGTATTTTCGATCGCATTACTAAACCGTTTATCCGAATGAGGCAAATAATATGGCTTTGGAAAGCTGCCGCAAAACCGCTCCTTCCACATGTTGAAAGTTTTCTCCAGTTCCCTATGGTTACAGTGTAATTTGGAAAATCATAAAATTTGGCAAACCGAATAGCCAAGTTCATATTTTTGATGTCATTTCTAAATGGGTAATCCAATTGAGGCAAATGATATGACATTGGAAAGATTATGAAAATGCGCTACTTTTTCATGTTTAAAGTTTTTTCTAATTTTGAACAGTTTAAGAGTAATTTAGAAAACGGTACAAGTTCCACCAAGTTTGTATTTTCGAGTTAGTTTTTTAACTGTACGTCCGAATGCAACAAATGATATGGTGTTGGAAATCCTGACGAAATGCGAAAGTTTTTGTTATATATTGTTTCTCCCAATTATTTATGGTTTTAAGTCAATTTTGAAAATGGCTAAAAAAGTATTTTCGCCATAATTTCTACAAACTTTAATGGAGTGGGGCAAGTAATATACCGTTGAAAAGCTACGGCAAATGCGAAACTTTTTCATGTTGATGGTTTTCTCTAATTCCTAGCCGTTTTCAAGTAATTTCAAAAACGGCGAGATCATTCGTTCCGCCTTTATCGCGAAACATATTCTTCGAAAATGCACCGCGTCAAGAACTTGAACTTCTCGGCATCTCTACTTGAACTTCATTCTATTTTTCACGCACTTTTTTGCTCGTAGCTCTCCATCCACTCACCAGAATTGAGCAAGTGATATACCGATGGAAAGCTGCTGTAAACACTCAACTTTCCCTTGTTAATCATTTTCATACTCACGACGGTTTTAAAAGTTTTTCATGTGAATTTCATTCAGTGCAGTAGTTGAACTTCCTGTTGTTTTCACGTTGAACTTCTAAGACGTATTTTTGTTTGTAATTTTCTCATGCATTGGTCAGTGTTACACAAATTATATTCCTTTTGTACAAACCTCTCTCACAATAAATTTTTTTGCTTTGTCCGACGGAGGACTTGAAATTATAACAACAAAAAATTTGGACCTTGCCTTTTAATTCATTTTTCTCATATTAAATACACACCATGTAGTAAATGAACCTTTTCCATTTTTGTAATTTGATTCTTTTAATTTCTTTTTGAATCACATTGCTCCCAATAATAACTGAACTTCTTTGTGGATTTAGAGAATTGTTTTAAAACACAAAAAAACAATTTCTTTTTTGTGTATTCAAACATGGAAATACAAGGTGAACCTCTCTCGCAAGAATTTTTGAACTTCCCTGGAAAGAGCACTTGAACTTCTTTCAAAAAACCTTTTAAGCTTTTATTTTCTATACTTTTATTCTCACGTGAAAATGCATTCCTTGTAGTACTTGAACTTCTCGTTGTTTTCACTATGAACTTCTGTCGCATTTTTGTGTATACATCGAATTACACACAATTGAAGGTCAGACGTCATTTTTTGCCATTTTAAAACATGTAACTGGAGGTTGGCCGTCCCTCAATATAAATTCTGAACCGTGCACGGAGGAGCACATAAACTCCTTGCAACAAGCCTTCGAAGTTTTTAGTTTTCTATTCTTATATTCTAATCTGAAATGCATTCCGTGTAGTAGTTGAACTTCCCACTATTTTCACGTTGAACTTCTGTCACGTATTTTTGTTCAACCTCTCTCACAAGAATTTTTGAACTTTCACTGGTCGGGAACTTGAACTTCTAGCAACAAAATTTTTGGACTTTGCCTTTTTTATTCGATGTTTTCTCATATGAAACAAACACCATGTAGTACGTGAACTTCTGGTTCTTATCTATTTGAACCACTCTTTACTTTTTTGGCCCTAACTCCTAAAGCACTCGTCAAAATTGAGCATGTAAATCCTAGGTTTTTATAACCTTTGAAGTTTTCTATTTGTTTAATTTGAACTTCTTAATTTTATTCTTATAAAAGAAAAGACAATATTTTAAAGCAAAGATCATACAACCTTTTTTTAAATGAACTTCATACAATAATTTTGCATAGGAAGAAGAAGAATTTTGAGTGTTATATACATCATACTATTCTGGTTTTTAATATGAAATTATTGATTTTCTTTTTAAAATCAAATCGCTCCAAAAAATTTAAAAATGCAAAAACGATGCTACCTTTTAGCAATGGGAAAAATCTGAATTCTTTATAGACATAAAACCACTCTTCATTATTTCGAATCGAACTTCTTGGTTTATTCATTAGTAACGGGAAAATTTCAAGTTTTTCTAATAAATATCAAACTGCTGCTTTTTTAAAATTGAACTTCTTGGTTTATTATTTAGTAACAAGGAAAATCTGAGTTTTTCATATACATAAACTACTCTATTCTTTTAAATTGAACTTCTAGGGTTTTTTAATATGGACATCTTGGTGTTCTTCATTTGTAACATAAAAAGTCCTAGTTTTGTAATAAATGTCGAATCACTCAGTTTTGAATTTGAACCCCTCAGTTTTAAATCTTGTAGTATAGCTCGAACAACTTATTTTGAAATTGAACTTCATTCTTTTTTACCCACAAACAAGAAGAATTCGAGTTTTTTTGTATACATTGAAGTACTCATTTTTATAATTTGAGATTCTTCTTTAAAAAACACTCATTGCTCCATTTTTTAAATTTGAACTTCTTGTTTTTACTAAGAAAATTGACAAGTCCATTTTTTATCTAATGTTTGTCATGCTCTTGTTTAACAAATTGAACTTCTTGGCTTTTACTTTTCAGGCATGGGATAAATCTGTTTTTAGAACTATTCAATATTTTGAACTTCCCCATTTAATTCTTTAGTAATGGGAAAAATCTAAGTTTTTCTATTACCTTAGAAGTTCTCTATTTTTTACATTTGATCTTCATAGTTTTTCGTATACATCAAACTACTGCATATTTTCAATTTTAAACTTCTTCATTTTAATCTTTAGTAAGAACGAAAGTCTGAGGGGGTTTTAAACATTGAACTACATTTTTTAAATTTGGACTTATTTGTTTTTGTTTCTATTAGTAACAAAATATTCCTAGTTCGGGAATAAAAATCCTAGTTTTTTAATAAGTATCGAGCCATTTCGTTTTTTAGATTTGAATTTCTAAGACTTTTTAAGCGGAGAAAATCCTTTTTTAATAAATTTGTGTTGAGATGTTTTTTGTTTTTTCAATTTGACCTTCTTGGGATTGTAATAAATGTTGAACTTCTCTGTTATTTTAATTTGAACCTCTAGGTTTTTCTAGAAACAGCGGAAGTCCATTTTTTCTATAAATTTTTGAACTCCTCTATTTTATTAGATTGAACTTCTTCGTTTTTTACTTATCAATGGAGAGAAATTCTAGTGTTGTAATAAACATCGAGCTACCATGTTATTTAAATTTGAACTTCGAGGTTTTTTAAGAAACGAAGAAAATCCATTATCTTTTTTGAACGATAATCCGTACATACAAAAATCCCAACAAGATAAGTTGCTACAAGAAATGAAAACAAACTCATAATTTTTAGTTCATAGACAAAATACATTCTCACGTGAACATATAATCGATTCATGGTTCCCATTTTTCCATTCTTTCTTGTACACTTTCAGAACCTTTTGTTGGGGGAATAAGATAATTAGCGCCATACAACATCACCTTGAACCCCTATCATATATATCTCTGAACTTCATCCATGTTTCATGTTTTTGTGCTCTGTCTTCTTCGTCACACAACACCAAAAAAGCTTTTCACTGTGACATTTTGCTGCAAAATTCATTGAACAGTCATCATGCATTACAAATTCTAGAGAAATCACAGAATGTAAAGAAACAACGGGGAGTAAAATATCCATACACACAGAAATGCATCGACACATTTGAGTACAAAAAAGGTCCCCGTGCCGGCCCTGTTCTTGGGCGACAACCTTCTTACAGCGCCACCGTGATGCACCTCCTCCCTAGTCCTGAGCTCCACCCCTGTCTCCACCACTCTGGCAGATCTCTCTGACCTCCAGTCGATCTTGCGGCGGCGGTAGATGCTCGTCTTCCACGGGCAGCGGTGGTGGTTGGACATGTTTGGATGCAGCGGCGGGGAAGAAGCACGGATGAGAGTCTCCAGTGCCATGATAGGAACCGGTGGGTTGGTGCCCTGGTTGCGATGTCGGGGAAGAAGCACAGAGGATGGTGGGGGTGGGCCGTAGCAGGGGTTGGAGGTTGTGGGGGCCTGTCGCCAGCGGCATCTGGCTGTGGAGGGAAGAAGGTCATGGTGACAGTTGGAGGAAGGTCGCGGCAGCAGGTGGAGCAAGTTTGTGCTCATGGAGGTAACCTGATCTGGGGCAAGGGACGGACTTGGCGGCGCGATCCGCAGCGAGGCACGGTGGAGGCGGCCCGATCCGGGAGGGACGAGCGACGGTGGCAGCAGTGAGGGGCAAGGGGCGATGGAGGCGGCCCGATCCGGGGCAAGAGACGGTGCTGGCGGCGCAATCCGCGACGAGGGATGGTGGCGGCGCCGATTGGGTGTGGAGGCGCGTTTCGGGCGGCGGCAGCGGCGGTGGTTGGGGGTGGTGGAGCTTCCTGCCCGGGGTGAGGGGGCGGCGCCAGATCGGTGATGGAGATGATGGGGTGGGTCGTGGGGATCGGTTGGGTTCGATGGTGGGTAGGTGGGCTTTATTCGTTTTGTAGCAGCTCGGGAGTTTGGGAGAACCTAATCGGGCCCTATATAGGCTTGACGTGATCCAAATAGTTATTATGATCCCAGGATTAGAATAGTGTTGTCTTATATACATAATGTTTCTTGCAATAGATACAACAACTCACATTTTGGGTGAGTCCTAGAGACAACAACTCACATTTTCTTTTGAAAATCATCTCAGGTCACCGGCTAAATCTTGAAGGTACATATTATTTTATGCTCTCATTGATATATGCCTCAGTGCCTCTCAACACATTCATTGAGATCTACTAGTCCATGTTTATTGTTTTAGTTTAGAACCAACCTTCTAGATCAGAGGAGCTGAAAGTAATTCTAGTGTGAAAGATGAGCTTATTTTATTTGAACATTTCCTTATAAAATGTATTTCTTCTTCTACTTTGTAGTTACCCCTATGAATTGGGAACAAGTATAGTTCAAGTATTCAGATGAACTATTGATATTTATGGTGAAAATGTGCCCTAGAGGCAATAATATTGTATTATTATATTTCTATATTCATAATTAAGAGTTTATATTCTATGCTATAACAACGATGATCCTAGAATATACAATTCGGTGGAAAACTCATATGCACGCGTGGAATGATAAACAACAAAATAAGATTCCTAGTCTCGCCTCTAAGACTAGCTCAATTGTTGTTGCTGATCATGTTTTTCGGATCTTAGGATATTTAAGTGTAAAGATAGTCCTAAAACAACATTGAGAGTATGACATTAGAAGAACAATCATATTGAATCGACAGAAACTTATTTGTTATACTTTGAGATAATATAGTCTGAAGTCAATTGTTATAACACGGAGTGTTAACGTGTGTTTTAGTTCCTTAGACTATGAGAGTACCATAGTCATTTCTTACCATACGATGAACTTTGGGGTTGCTCAAACGTCATCTATAACATGGTGATCACAACGATAACTTACAGGTTCATCGAAAAGTTTGACAAGGGACTAGATAGCTTGAGAGTCGAATTTGCTTCTCGATGATGGATAGATATTCTTAGGTCCCTCTCGGTGTGGCTGATGTTGGTACTAAAACAGGCGGACCTTAGGTAGGGGGTCCCGAGCTATGGATCTAGGAACGATGGATAACAGGAGATAAGGGAGACGATGTTTCCCAGGTTCGGGCCATCTCAAAGAGGTAAAACCCTACATCCTGCTTTCATTATATTGATGTGAGGGAGTATAAAATATAAGATGATCTACCTCGATATTGTATTTTGTGTTCTAAACCCTAAGGCGGGTAATTGTGATTGTGCCTCTACACACTAAACGCCTTGGCTTATATAGGCACCAGGGGTATCTAGGGTTACACATGGTCGGTTTCCAACTAGGAATAACCATGTCAGCAATCAGAGTTGTCCTTAAAGTATACGCCAAGTCTTTGGCAGTGTCCATCTTGATCACGCTAGGATTCGTAGCTTCCAGAGTCCTTCCTTGTGGAGATCGGCCGACCATAAGCTCGGCCCATGGACTGTGGGTCACATAGGTTGGTACCCCTAGTCCAGGACACTGTTAGTAGCCCCTGAATTTGTCTCCGAAGCTGACGATGGAAGTTGCATCCTCGGACCAATGTCTCCAGCTTGAAGTCTTTGGCTTGGCAGGCTGGTTCTCTCTCCATCGATTCAAGTTCGGCTTTCAGATCTGCCAAATGTTTTCGGCCTCTATTCCTCGGATAGGGTAATCTTTAGGTTATGTGATCCGAGGACTTTCGCCGAGGACCGACCATGGGTCTCACCATATGTGTCCCTTTGGTTTCATAAATCTTCTTGATCGTTGTGTCGCCTAGGGAACAAGCCCATTCAAGGCTGGTCATTGAAGTGTCCTCCCTTTTAATGTTTTAATTAAGTGGGTACTTAATCCAGGGTTACAGTCACGACCATACCCTAGCTTCCTCGCATCTTGCCTCAACACGAAACTTTCTCCTCAAATTTTAGCTTCGAGAGCTCCAGTCATGGCAAGCGGTCCGGGCTCATCGACACGCCCCCACGGGCCTCTCAAAGGTGACTACGGAAGTTGCTCCGTCACCCGTCAACAATTGGACCAGCTTGCCACCCAAGGTTATTTGTTGGACGCAGACCTTGCTTCTACCCGTCCTGGCTTAATATCTTTGGACAAACGAGCGCACGCGGACAACCATCCCGTTCCTCATGGGGAGGGGTGAGTTTGCTTTGTCCCTTTCTTATTGCGGGCCTTGGATTCCCCATCCATTCATTTCTCCATGGACTCCTTGAGTTCTACGGGATCCAACTCCACCATCTAACACCCAATTCCATCATGCATATCGTGGGATTCATCGTCCTCTTTGAGGTGTACCTCAGATGCGAAGCACACTTTGGGCTATGGAGAAAGTAGTTCTGATTGATGCCATGTTCCCACAAGGGAAGCTTCACGAGGTGGGCGGACCCGAGGTATGCCATATTGTGGGAACGGGCTATCCAACGGGTACCCCCAGAGAGGATACAAGGGAGACGATGTTTCCCAGGTTCGGGCCATCTCAAAGAGGTAAAACCCTACATCCTGCTTTCATTATATTGATGTGAGGGAGTATAAAATATAAGATGATCTACATCAATATCGTATTTTGTGTTCTGAACCCTAAGGCGGGTAATTGTGATTGTGCCTCTACAGACTAAACCCCTCGACTTATATAGGCACCAGGGGTACCTAGGGTTACACATGATCGGTTTCCAACTAGGAATAACCACGTCAGCAATCAGAGTTGTCCTTAAAGTATACGACAAGCCTTTGGTAGTGTCCGTCTTGATCACGCTAGGATTTGTAGCTTCCAGACTCCTTCCTTGTGGAGATCGGCCGACCATAAGCTCGACCCATGGACTGTGGGTCACATAGGTTGGTACCCCTAGTCCAGGACACTATTAGTAGCCCCTGAACTTGTCTCCGAAGCCGAGGATGGAAGTTGCATCCTCGGACCAATGTCTCCAGCTTGAAGTCTATGGCTTGGCAGGCTAGTTCTCTCTCCATCGATTCAAGTTCGGCTTTCAGATCTGCCAAATGTTTTCGGCCTCTATTCCTCGGATAGGGTAATCTTTAGGCTATGTGATCCGATGACTTTCACCGAGGACCTACCATGGCTCTCACCATATGTGTCCCTTTGGTTATTATTTCATAAATCTTCTTGATCATTGTGCCGCCTGGGGAACAAGCCCATTCAAGGCTGGTCATTGAAGTGTCCTCCCTTTTAATGTTTTAATTAAGTGGGTACTTAATCCAGGGTTATAGTCAAGACCGTACCCTAGCTTCCTCGCATCTTGCCTCAACACGAAACTTTCCCCTCAAATTTTAGCTTCGAGAGCTCTAGTCATGGAAAGCGGTGCGGGCTCATCGACACGCCCCCACGGGCCTCTCAAAGGTGACTAGGGAAGTTGCTCCATCACCCGTTGACAATTGGACCAGCTTGCCACCCAAGGTTATTTGTCGGATGCAGACCTTGCTTCTACCCGTCCTGGCTTAATATCTTTGGATAAACGAGCGCACGCGGACAACCATCCCGTTCCTCATGGGGAGGGGTGAGTTTGCTTTGTCCCTTTCTTATGGCGGGGCCTTGGATTCCCCATCCATTCATTTCTCCATGGACTCCTTGAGTTCTACGGGATCCAATTCCACCACCTAACACCCAATTCCATCATGCATATCGTGGGATTCATCGTCCTCTTTGAAGTGTACCTCGGATGCGAAGCACACTTTGGGCTATGGAGAAAGTAGTTCTGATTGATGCCATGTTCCCACAAGGGAAGCTTCACGAGGTGGGCGGACCCGAGGTATGCCATATTGTGGGAACGGGCTATCCAACGGGTACCCCCAGAGAGGATACAAGGGAGACGATGTTTCCCAGGTTCGGTCCATCTCAAAGAGGTAAAACCCTACATCCTGCTTTCATTACATTGATGTGAGGGCGTATAAAATATTAGATGATCTACCTCGATATCGTATTTTGTGTTCTAAACCCTAAGGCGGGTAATTGTGATTGTGCCTCTACACACTAAACCCCTTGGCTTATATAGGCCCCAGGAGTACCTAGGGTTACACATGGTCAGTTTCCAACTAGGAGTAACCATGTCAGCAATCAGAGCTGTCCTTAAAGTATACGCCATGTCTTTGGGAGTGTCCATCTTGATCACGCTTGGATTCGTAGCTTCCAGAGTCCTTCCTTGTCGAGATCGGCCGACCATAAGCTCGGCCCATGGACTGTGGGTCACATAGGTTGGTACGCCTAGTCTAGGACACTGTTAGTAGCCCCTGAACTTGTCTCCGAAGCCGAGGATGGAAGTTGCATCCTCGGACCAATGTCTCCAGCTTGAAGTCTTTGGCTTGGCAGGCTAGTTCTCTCTCCATCGATTCAAGTTCGGCTTTCAGATCTGCCAAATGTTTTCGGCCTCTATTCCTCGGATAGGCTAATCTTTAGGTTATGTGATCCGATGACTTTCGCCGAGGACCTACCATGGGTCTCACCATATGTATCCCTTTGGTTATTATTTCATAAATATCATGATCGTTGTGCCGCCTGGGGAACAAGTCCATTCAAGGCTGGTCATTGAAGTGTCCTCCCTTTTAATGTTTTAATTCAGTGGGTACTTAATCCAGGG